TGCTGACCTCTTTACAAACCTCGGTTGTTGGTTTTGAAAACATTAAGGAACTCTATGATGTTGATCCTGACTTTAGCTCGATATGGAAAAGATGCTTGAAGGACCTCAACGGATGTTTCTTATTCGTGATGGTTATTTGTACTATGGGAAGCAATTATGTATTCCCCAGGGATCGTTACGGAATTTGATACTTATGGAGGCTCACGAAGGAGGTTTAGCTAGACATTTTGGACAAAAGAAGACTTTGAGGCTTGTCCAAGAAAATTTTTATTGGCCAAAGATAACTAGAGATGTCAATCGACTTGTGGAGCGATGTGCAATGTGTAAGAAGTCCAAGATGCAAGGGAGCAATACCGGACCTTACTCCCCTTTGCCTATTCCGACGTCACCATGGGAGGATATAAGAATGGATTTCGTGTTGGGACTTCCTAGAACCCAAAAAGGAAGATACTCAATTTTTATGGTAGTTGATCATTTTTCCAAAATGGCACACTTCATAGCTTGCAACAAGACATCAGATGCAACCAACATTGCAGATTTGTTATTTCACAATATTGTTAAGTTACATGGTATTCCTCAGACCATTCTCTCTGATCGGGATTCAAAATTTTTAAGCCACTTTTGGAGAACTTTGTGGGCTAAATTGGGAACTCTGTTAAAGAATAGTACCTCCCACCATCCTTAAACCGATGGTCAAACAGAAGTTGTCAACCGAAGCTTAGGAGCTCTACTACGTGCCTTGGTGAAGAAGAGTATGCGTGAATAGGAGTCTCTCTTGCCCATAGCTGAGTTTGCTTTCAACAAGTCTATTAACCGGACTACTGGACAAAGTCCATTTGAAGTGGTATATGGTAAAAATCCCCTTGGACCTCTTGATCTTTCTCCAATTGACACTAATCACAACTTTAGTGGTGATGCTGAAGAAATGGTTAAACAATTCAAAAAGTTACATGAACACGTGCGGCAACAAATTGAAAAGCAAACAGCAAAGTACAAAGAAAAGACAGATGCTCACCGCCGGCCATTAGAGTTTAATGTTGGAGACTTGGTGTGGATTCACTTGCGGAAGGAACGGTTTCTTAACAGGAGGTACCCGAAGTTGCAGCCAAGAGCTGATGGCCCTTTCAAGGTTCTACAACGTCTTGGTGATAATGCTTATCATTTGGAGCTGCCCGATGATTATGGCATCTCGCCGGTGTTTAATGTTGCTAATTTGTGTCCTTACTTCCCGCTTGATTCGAGGACAAATCCTTTTCAACCAGGGGAGAATGATGAGCGTCACGACTTAGACCAGCAAGAAGTGGAGCACGTGGAAGACTTGGAAGCCCAAGTGTTGTCAACGGTTCAACAATTTTACAATAGAGCCGAATTCTATAATGGGGAAGAATTGTTGGGCCAAGAGGCAACACAAGTCTTTGTGTTATTTAAAATTGAAGAAGATCAGACCCAAGAAATGGGCCCTTGACGTGTGGAATGCATGGAAGGCAAGGGTGAGACCCCCTTGACATGTGGAATGCATGGAAGGCAAGGGTGGGACACGTGGCTGAAGTTTTTGATTACTTTTCCTTTTTGAATTATGATTTACTTCCCTGTTTTGTAATCAGTTATAAGTTTCTGTTTTACTTAGGTTAAGTTTCAATTTTTTTTAAGATTGTTTCCTATTTCTGAGATTTTTTCCTGATTGTAAGTCCTATTTAAAAGGACCCTTATGCTACAATGAAAGGTAGACCTAATTTATGTAATTTTGGAGTGTTATAGTTTTTTTTTTTGGACGAGTTTTTGTTCTTTTTTCTTAGTTGATGCGTCATTGAGAGTTTGGGTTTGATTCCTTTGATAGTCCTTCAAACTTCACGTTTAGAGTCTGCTTCCGCTAGCCTGAAAAGGGTATTAGCAGGAGTGTATCCTTTGGTTAAAGTTTTCTTGTGTTTTTACGGGTGCACAACCTAGAAAGCACATCAAAAGCTCATCCCATGCCTTGAGAACCATGAAGTGACTCTTGTCTAAGTCCCATTTCCAGGCCAAAGCATCCATTTCATGGTAAACCGGTACAGGAATTCGGAAAGTAGCCATAGAGTTAGCGGGATGCCGAGAGCCACCGCATTAATAAGGGTCGTACGCCCTGCTCGGGAGAGATACTTGGCTTTTCAGCCCTCCAATATTTTCCAGAGTTTCTCTTTCAAGAAACCGAAATTCTTCGATTTGTTCCTCGAAAGGAACATGGGGTTCCCAAAGTATCGTTCATCCCCTTTCACCTTTCCAACCCCTTACGTTCGAAGAATTTCTTCTTGCACTGTAGGTGTCGTATGTCTAGAGAAAAATACACAAGATTTCTTTTTCATAGAGTGAATAACCTCTTGCACTATGACTGAGCTCTTGGCAATCCAGCGACCCGGAACAAAAAGACAGATTGAAAGGGGCTAATGATACTTGACAAATATTCCACTCGCATGCATGTGTATTATAAATGCTTATAAATAATTTAGTGTCAATTGTATTATTCAAATAAGATTAATATTGAATTTAAATTCGCATTTTCAGCTTTAGTATTATACTTCATCGGTCTACAACTCCAACACAAGCAATGATATTGACAGTTAACCAATAACAACACTAACGGGCACTAGTGGTGGCATGATGAGCAATATTACCCACTAAATAGAATGTGAGTCTTGTAATATGAAACTCATCTTTTATTTGTTGTCGTATTTAATTCCGCTAGTACTCTCAAATATTTCTCGTTAACCAAAAGAATTATGAAATGACTATTAAGAACCACTTGTTTTGAAAAGCCTTTTTCTTGGTTATCTTAGGCAGTTAATAACGGTGAACCAGAACCAGCGTGTCTAATATGCATCTGCATAATATTAATGTAGACAGCAAATACATTGAATAATTGTAGTTAAACACAATCATTACGTGATATGAATGTACCTATTTTTTTCTCCCCGGTTAGCTGTTTGTGGACCATTAGTACGTTACAATGTGGTCGTACCATGGATTTTTACAAGAAAATTTAGTTATTGTTTCGGTGTCTATTATTATTTTCTTTTTTAAAGTTGTTTAGGAATGTGCTTCTTACCGATATTAAAGATCAATTTCAGACGAAATAAATACAGTTCGCTTAAAAAGAATGTTGGATTGGATCAATATTTAAAAGTGGTATGGATGCATAACTGGTCGTGATACTGAGCGTAATCTACACTGGTTTTCGAGGGAATTCTCTAAAGGGCCTAACATGATGTGGTTATCCCCCATTGGGCTTCTTCTAGACCAGTTCAGATCACAGGTTCATTTTATCTGGACCACTTCACGAGTAAATTCTCCAATTTTTTATTTTGAAATAGTAAAAAATAAGTCAATATGATAAGTTTAAGAAAGTATATAGGTCAATTTTTAGTTATAAAAATTAATAGATCATAACTTGTTAAGTTATGGTTCATAATCAGATAAATTATAGACAAACTTGTCAAGTTATGATTCATAGCCAGACAAGTTATGAACAAAAACCATAAATTATAGACAATAACTTGTCAAGTTATGGTTCATAACCAGACAAGTTATGGACAAAAACAGTAATTTGGCCTATTTATTAACTTATGTAAACTATTAACCTATTAATTTTAATTCATCTCAAGTCTTGATCTATTTCCTTCTTTCTCCCTTCTTTCTTTTATTTTTTTTTATCTATCTGGGCTGCTAAGGATAACGATTTTTTTCCCTTTAAACAAAGAAAAAAATATTACATATAAGATAAATGTTATTCTTCAATAAACATTTTTTATTACGAACAAGTAAACCACAGTGTTAGATATACAATATAGAATATTAGTGATGCTGGTGCAATATTTCAATTTGGTTAAGTATATATTTCATTTCAATTTGGTTCATGATATACTTTTTAAAACGTATTTTTCTTCTTAAAAGAACCTATTCTATTATTTTTCTTATCATAAAAAAGACAACCTATTTTTGTAATATGCTGTTTCATTATTTTTTTTTTTGGTTGAAGTGAGTCGATTTGATTTAATAATAAATCAATTTTAAATTATTACGAAAGTATTTCCGGAATAATGAAATAACATTTTTCTTAAGGAAAAGTTGCATTTATTTATTCTTAAGGAAAAAACTTTTCCTGAACTTTTGCTGGGTTGTGTTTTTATAATCAGAAAACAGAATCAAATAATAGAAAATCAATACCTTTTTTTTAATACAACGAAAATTGTACTTATTGCGTTCCCCACAATCACAAACTCTATCGCATATCCACATCTCACCACAATAACACATTATATTATGGACAAATCTAGCTAAGAAGATAAGGTATTGCGTGGCATATAATTAACTAACCTTTTCTACTAAATCAAGAACTAAAAATGAAAATTAGCTATCAAATTCAAATTTAAATTGAAATTATCACGTTAAAACCTAATAATTTTCATTAAGAAAGAAAAACAAAGAATTAAATAAGAATCATCCCAGCCCTGCCTAAGGCACTAAACAAATGAGAAAAAAAAAAGAAAAAAAAGGAAAACGAGTAAAAAATGAGCAAGGAAAAAGAAAGCATAGAACCATCTTAAATATAAATGTTAATATTAATTACATATTTAGCATAAAAAATTATGATATGATATGTTATTTTTATTTTTATTTTGATGTATAATGTTATTTAAAATGTTAAATATATATATTTTTATAATTATTAAGCTTTGAAAGTTGTAAAGTTAACTTTTTATTTTTAAAATAATTAAAAAATATAAAAATTACGTTGATTATATGAAAAATTAAACATTTTAATCAATAGTAATTATATATCAAATTTTTTATATATTATATTTTGTGAAAAATTTATCATAAAGTATTAATATAAAAAATTTAATACGATAAATATCATTTAAAATTTTTTTACTCTTAAATGTTAAATTTATAATTAGGATATTAACAAGCATAATAAAACATTTATATATTAGGAAAAACAAAGCATATTCAAGAACGAAGAAAAAAACGGTCTTGACTTACGCAAGTATCAACGAAGACCGCAAACCAAAAACCCCAAACACGATCGAGAAGCCAAGATCTGGTGGCTGGTGGCGATTTCTTCAAAATCCATGTCCATGGATCTCCCAAACTTTCTCCACCACCACAATCAACAGAACCACCATAGCCATCACAACCTCAATCAACCAAGGTACGTCTCCGTTCCCAATTCCTCTCGTCCTCACTATCCCGACGATCCCAATTCCCAAAACCCTCGCTATCTCCACCACCACCACCACCACCACGTTCTTCAGCCTCCGCCGCCGCCTCCTCCGCCGCCTCAGACGCCGCGGTTTCAGCCCCCTCCTCTACCGAAGCCATCCCCCTACCACCCTGCTCCGACGGTCCACAGCCACACCTCCAGTCCCGGTCAATCCCAATTCGCCTTCGCGAACCCTAGCCATGATCGCTCCTTTGATGGCGATCACCCGAGATCGTCCTATCCTCTTCGAGAGTTCGCTCCTTCGTCCAAGGTTTCGCACCGATTGCCCGTCGTCGAGGATGATCGCCCTCGGCATCGCGTGCCTGAGTTTGACCCGGAGAGTCGCCAGGAATTTTGGGAGCAATCTAGGGTTTTGGCGGAGAATCTGCCGGAGAGGACGCACTTGCCTCTGGACTTTGCCTCCGGTTCTCAGAAGTTTCAGTTCGATCACAAGGCTATGTCGCCGTACAAGACGAGTAACAGAGTGAGACATGATTCCGAGACTAGTGCTAGGTTTAGAGTGGAATATGCTGATGTATATGAATCGAAGTACAGAGAGGAGGTTCCACTGGGTCGTGAGGATGAGAATTATGGTCGCTCCGGTAATTTCTTGTCCAGTCAAGGTACGTCTTTTCATGATGTGGGATTTGTGTCTAATTCGAGTTTATCATTGAGAAATTTGGAGTCTGAATCTGAGAATTGTCATGGCAATCGTAATGGTTCGGCTCATGATAAGGAATTGTTCAGGAGTGGTAGAAGGGATGCTGGTTATGAAAATCAAAGACGGGTTCATGATCGGAAAGTCCCTAGAGATGCACATAAGTCCTCTTTTGAGAGGGGAGGTGGTGAGATAAGTAATGGTGATGGGGCTTATTTCGTTTCACACAAGCGCGGGTATTATGGTTCAGAATCTGGCAGGTATAATAATAGAGGAAGCAGGGATGGCGCTCACGAATTTAATCGCACTCCGAGGAAGCAAATACAGAAGAAGAGTGCTCTTCTTCGGCTACAAAAGCAGAATCACAGGAATACGAAGAGCGAGCAGTCGCAATATTCTGGTTATCTTGATAACTCGAACTCTAGTTATTTTAGACGCAGAGATCACCACGCGTATGTGAGCAACGGAGTTGATGAAGAAGAAGAAAAAGAGGGAAGCCCTGTCGAGCTTGATGTTTCTTTCAAATCCAATTCGCTTGTGGCCAAGGCAATATCCACACCGACGGGCTGTTCTAATGTTAATGATGCTGATTCGACACTGAGAAATATGAAAGGTGGGAAAGATTCTGTTGCTGACAGTGATTGTTCAAATGCAAAGTTGACTAAACTCACTGACAATACTATAAACGTGGACAGCTCCATGCAATTGGCAAACAGTGTCTCTAGTCCTGACAAGAAAATGACACAATCGGATGGGAAAATTACTTCTGATATCAAGGCTATGTGTAATGCTAGTACACAGGCTTGTTCGAGTGTGACTAATCATTCTTTTGAAAAGAAGGAAGTGCAAAGGTCTCCTAAGAGTGCTGATTTCGATAAAGTTGGTACCAAAGTTGGTCCTAGGAAACCTTCTCTCAAGGTTGTTAAGAAGAAAAAAGTGGTGAAGAAAAAAGTGAAAAAAGTTGTACGCTCTAATCCACAGCAAAAGAAGAAGCATGATGAAACCGTGACGACAGATGCCCACATTCCTATTCCATCTGAAGCCTTTGGAATTGACAAGGTTGCTGTGTCTTTGTCTCATCCTTGTCCCAATGAAACAAATATGTTGCATGTGGGAAGAAATGTAGGAAGTTCTCCAGTGGCTATAGAATCAGAGGAACATCGCATTGATGAAACTGGTACAAAATGTGAAAATCCAGTTGAGAAAAATGGGAACAAGTTAAATACTTGCTTGGGTTTTTCAAGTCTGGAAGAAATCAAAATTGCCAAAAATCCTGAAAATACAGAGTACTTTGGCCAGAGTTCTCATGCCATATCAAATAATAATGAGAATTTAGTTAAATCTCTTAATGAAAGTACTTTTCTTGATATAGTGAATGTGGAAGATGTTAAACAGTCTCGTCAGAGTGGAGACTCCTTATTTGAGTTAGATAAGGAGAACTCTTCACCAATCACGTTGCCTGTAAGAGACAAGGCTGATTCTTCTTTGTTAAATTCAGGGAATATCAAAATGCATGACAATCTTATGAATATATGTTGTTCTGCCGATGGTACGGACACCACCTTGGATATTGTTGATGGTACAAAATTGTCAATAGAGGAAAACCCAGTTCGTGAAGAGATTTCAAAGTCTACTTTATCAGCAAGAAGCAGTGTAACAATTTGTGGTTTGCCAAGTTCAGGGGAAAGTACAATGGATGCACACACCTCACACCATGATAGTGACAGACGTACCTCCCTGGGCTACAACAATGAGAGCAATTACGAAGAGATTACTATTTCCAGAAGTGGCATTGTTGATTGTATTATTGAGCAACCACCGACAGACAGTTCCAGTGGACTACCTGAAAATAGTGCCATTGGAAGCTCTCAAAATACTAAAATTTCAGTTGGAGATGATGAAGAGGATACACCTGTGACTAGGAAGGGGAGAACAATTAGGAGTCAATTAGATTTTTCTAGGACGAAAAACGTTGATATGGATCCGGTTAATGTTTCTAACCCTGCTACTGCTGTGGATACAAAATTAAGTTTACCTTTTGAAGATACAAGTAGTGAAGTAGTTGCAGTTTCGTTTATGGGAAGTTTGGATGATGCCTTACAGCCTGTAAAAAATCAAGCCTGTGGTTCGTCAGATGGTTTTCCGGAGGCTAACTTAAGTGCTAGAGATGGTGTTAATGATGGTTTCCACGTCACTCCTTTTAAGAGCAGAAAGAGAAGAAAAGTTTCTGCCTCTCATCAGGCAATGTCTAGTTTGACTACTGCCCAGACTGATGAACAACCAGCAGCAGACAAATCTTCATTTTGTGCGGAAGCACCATTGACTTCAAATGAAGTTTTGGCGCAACAAAACATGGAATTGGACACATCATCTAAAGATGATGTTTGTGCTGCAACTGATTTGATGAATTCTGAAAATGTGATCACTGTTTCGGATGGCAATAAGCTGTCCGAAGGATTTTCTAATGCTATGGGTGTTGGGAGTTTCGTTAATGAAGAACCGAGAAAAGATGACGGCGTCGTTATGGCTGTTAATGATCATCAGTTTGAGGTTTTTAACGTTCAAAGCAGAAGCGAAGAAGAAGTGGGTGTCCCTGCTTCAAAAGAGGAAGTTATTGGTCAAGATGAGACACCTCAATGCACAATTTCTTCAGGTATCCAGCCTCCAGATATAGGTAAAAGTTTTTCTTTTACAGATATGGGATCTGATAATCTTCTTGTAAAGGATGATTTTCCCAATTTGCCGAATTATCTGTCTTCGCCTAATGATTGCAGTGGAGCAACCTCCACTGATGAAGCAATGGATTTTGTGCCTGATTCACCAACAATGACGAGTTCTCCACAAACCTCGTTAGATGTTCCTGATGTAAACATGTCGGATGTCACATCAGTCAGCCAAATATCCAATCAAATTTGTAGGGAAGACGAAAAGCTAGTTCAAAAGTCTCTGGATGATAAGGGTTCTGAGGTATCTGCTCAAAAATCATTTTCTCAGTGTACCAAAAGTAATCTAACGTCAGATTCTGCAACTGAATGTGACCAAGCAATTGGGGGGAAGACAGCACCATTGTCTTTGCAAGATTGTAGAAGTACATCCCGTGGTGTCAATATTGAAAGTGTTGAATCTAATGAGCAGAAGAACCAGCTTGATCAAGCCGTTTCTAGGACATTTCCTGGCCGTTCATCTTTTAGACTTACTACCTTTAAAAAGAGAGCAAATTCTACCCATGCCAATCCAAGAACTTGGCATCGAAATGTTAATTCTTCTGCTTGTGCTCTTCCTGGAAGTAAGACTTTCTCAAAGAACGTTCCTTCCCAAAAGCAGTTACCAGAAAGAGATGAGAAGGTTCAGAGTACTTCTTATGTACGTAAAGGTAATAGCCTTGTGAGAAAACCTTCTCCAACTGCTGCTCTATCCCAGGGTCCTCCCAGCTTTAGTCCTGTTTATCGGTTGAACTCAGCTGGTTCAGACGAATTAAAGAGGAGCATCGAATCAGATAACAGGGTCAGTCTTGGTAACACACATGATTTATCGAGGGTGGGAGAAACAAAGGCTTCTTGCAATAATCCTGGACCATTGCCGATACAAAGTGGGAGCAAATTACCCAATTCTGTTGCCATATCCCCAGGGGATTGTACGGCCTCCCCATCTGCAGGTCTTCTTTCTAATGACCGCTGTGAAACTAATTCAGATCCTATAAGTTCTACTGAGAATAATGAAACACCTAACTTGGTTGAGGATTCATTGACTTCTGAAGCTTTTGAAAACCAAAATGGCCAACTTAACAGTTTGGACAACCAGACTGAACTAAGTAATGCGAATTTGGCATCCTCAAACATGAAGCAGATAGTGTATGTAAAGCGCAAATCAAATCAATTGGTTGCAACTTCAAATTCTACCAGTGCCGATAAGATTCAAACCTCATCCTCTGATGGTTACTACAAGAGGAAAAAAAATCAGCTCATAAGGACTTCGTTGGAAAGTCACACCAAACAGCCAGTTATGCCTGATGACAATTTCAACTTGGGTGTCCAAATGACTCTTGGTGTCATTCCAAACAGAAGTAAGCGGCGCGGACATAAAGGTATGTTTGAAGAACTTAATAAATAGCTGGTGCCCAGTGTCATAAACCTCAATCTGTGAGGATATTTTACTAATTGATTCGTGTGTGCATACACATGCAAGTTTTTCTTTTATTTTACCTTGATGGATGACATTATTGCACATGGTATGCATCATTGGGAAGTATTCATGGTGAATTGTTCATTTTTTTTGTAGTGCAATGGGTTAAGCGCGAACCTTTTATTCTCATATATTTTCTATTAGCATTTTTTTCTCTTTTGTTCGCTGCATAGCGCATTGCTTGTTTTCTCCACTCGTAGTTAGGTGAGGCAAATAAGTAGAGTTATAGTAAGTGCCGATAATCTCTTTAGTTATCTTGTAATTTCTGGTAAGGCTATCTTAGTTATTATGTCTTCAGCGTTCAGGGCTATGTTAAACTTTGCTGTCTCCTTGTATCTAGTCGTATCAGTAGCTTCTGTGTTAGCATCATATTGGAAATATGCTTTATGCTTTCTCATGGCACTGTTGTTTCATGGTTTATGTTATTAGTGGTTGAGTGGAAATATGAGTGTCGTAATATGTCATTTTTCTTTAGTGCGACTAAAATCAAAGGTACTTACTGGGTGCAGTTGTTCCCAAGACATTCAAACGTTCAACAAACTCTTTGGTGTGGACACTATGTAGCACAGAGTCCACAAAGGTTAATAGTGGTTCGCTGTACCACCAGAAGGTTTTCCCTCACCTTTTTCCTTGGAAAAGAACGACATACTGGAGAAGTTTTATGCTGAATTCGAATTTGATTTATAAAAGTAGTTCCTTAGCAATCAGGTACGTTAGGTTCCTTTAATATGTTCATCTTCTATCTCACGTGTCTCTGTTTCATAAGCAAATAGTAATTAAATTTTCTTCCTTTAGTAAGAAATTGCTGCTATCAAGAAAGCGGGATACTCTTTACACAAGGTCACTAAATGGATTTTCACTACGAAAATCCAAGGTCTTAAGTGTTGGTGGTGCAAGTTTAAAGTGGTCAAAATCCCTTGAAAACCGTTCAAAGAAAGTTAATGAGGTTAGTTCTGCTACGCTGTTAAAACAATGGACATAGGCAGGGTGTTTCTCACTAAAGTTGTACCCGTTTGAGTCATTTTAAGTTCCATTTTCTGTTCAATTGTAGCGTTTGACTGTCCTTTTTTTTTTTTTTTTGCCTTCTATCATTCAGGAAGCTACACTTGCAGTTGTTGCTGTAGATAAGAAGAAGAGAGAACAGAAAGAAGCTACATGCATTAGTTCTGGGTCTAAGAGTAGAAATCACTCTTCACGTAAGTCAGTTAATAGTACAGTTTGTATCCATCTGGCCCATTCGTTATTCCTTTTGTGTTGGCAGATGCCTTTGCTTTGACCCATCCTCTACTGTTATTTTTATTATTTTTTCTTCTTTCTTTATGGCTATTGTTGATTTATTGTATTGCAAACCATTTTCTATACAAGTGGTTTTGGAGATGCTGTTTTATTATTTTCTGACAATGTTGCAGGAGAACGAATATTTCGCATTGGGACATCCCGTTACAAAATGGATCCTTCAAGGCGGACACTTCAGAGGATATCAGGTGGTCTGTTCATTATTGTTTCTAGGTTGCATATCGGTTTGTTTCTTTTATACATGTGCTTTTGTGTTTCTCTGATGCTTTCTTTAGCCGACTGATCAAATATGCTTTTAAGATGTCAAACGATGGCCACTCTATTTCTTGTCTTCTTAGCGTTCCTCCATTTGGATGTTTGTTCCCAAACTTTGGCAAATTTATGATTTTGCACCTGCCATTTTTGCCTCTATTCTCATTTTCTGTTGGTTATTGACAGTTGAGAAAATGGAAATAAAATAGTAACCTAGGGTCCTACAGTTCTGCTGATCTGAAAGGGTCGAGACCAATCAGTGATGAGATTTCACATTAAATAGTCTGGAATTAGTTTTTGTATGAATAAATATGGACAGACGTGACAAATTATTAGTTGGATGCGAAATATCTGGATAGCTAGTAGGTAGAGTTAGGTCAATGATAATTTAAACATAGGGTGTCCATTTTTCGGCATTATCAGGAGTTTTCAAGTTCTTACGGGTGCTATAGATTGATTAGGCTACTCTCAGTTCTTTACCAGTTATCTCTTTGCTCAGCCTGCCTTTAGAAATATTTTGTGCAAATATTGAAACATGCTTGGTGAAGTTTCATCTGTTGCTTAGTAGAGATGAGTTTGGCTTGAAGGTTTTTATGGTCATTTTGATGTGTACTTGAAGTTTAAAGGATGTCTTGTGCAACTAATATCCATAAGCTTCAAGTGTTTCTATTCCGCGTTTCTTTTTACCCTTCATAGTTCATTGGCTAACTGGTAATAAATCTTCTTTCATGATCTGTGTAGATGATGAATCATCACCTGCAGCTTCCGCTTATCCAGCTAAGGATTTAAAAACATCTTTCGTTCCAAGAAGATTAGTGATTGGAAATGATGAGTATGTTGCTTTCTTCTTTTTTCTTAGGTTGACATATGTATTAAACAAAAACAATTTTGAATTTTGTCTATGGATGGAAACTTTAGTCTGTTCATATATTGGCAGATATGTCCGGATTGGCAATGGCAACCAGCTTATTAGAAATCCAAAGAAACGAACTCGTATATTGGCGAGTGAGAAAGTTCGTTGGAGCTTGCACACTGCTAGACTCCGGTTAGCAAAAAAGAGAAAGTACTGTCAGTTTTTCACTAGATTCGGGAAGTGCAACAAGGATAGTGGGAAATGTCCCTATATTCATGATCCATCCAAAATTGCAGTTTGTACGAAGTTTCTGAATGGTCTATGTTCCAATGCCAACTGCAAATTAACTCACAAGGTTTACCTTTCCTAAATGCATTGGATAGAACTTTGATGAAGTCTCCTTTTTCCCCTTCTTTTACTCGAGAACTTTGGGAACTTTGATGCAGTCTCTGCAAAACTTTTGTCCCTTTTAACTCGAACGGTTTGGGTTGTATGCAGGTTATTCCAGAAAGAATGCCGGATTGTTCTTACTTTTTGCAAGGTGCTTTATGCTGTTCTTCTTCTTCTTCTTCTTCTTCTTTTTGTTTTTTTGTTTTCTTTTTTGGTACTAGCGGGAATGCGGAATTTCTGATCGATTTTCTGGCAGGTTTATGCACCAATCAAAGCTGTCCATACAGACATGTAAATGTGAATCCAAAAGCGTCTACCTGTGAAGGATTTCTCAGGGGATATTGTGCTGACGGTGACGAGGTAATGTTTGGCCGTGTAAACCCTATCAAACAGTATCTCTCTCCCTCTCTTTGTTTTTCGGAATCATGATTGATCAACTTGAAACTTCTTGCTATATATCGAGGCTAATCATTCAAGATATGATTTTGGGTATCTACAGCAGCTCCTCATCTTTGAGGAGTTGCATCATTTATTCGTACAACACATATTACATTGCTCGACATTCAGTTGTATCCGTAATGCTGTTTTAGATTTCTGTTTTAATGTTTGATAACCCTCACTTCTTTCAATCTGCAATAACGTTGTAGCAAGTAAAATACGATTATCTCTCTTGCTTCTCACAGTGCCGGAAGAAGCATAGCTATGTCTGTCCCACTTTTGAAGCAACTGGAACCTGTCCTCAAGGATCAAAATGCAAGCTGCATCACCCCAAAAACCGACTCCACGGAAAGAAAAGGAAGCGATTGAGAAAACTAAAGAATGGTAAAGGGCGTTACTTTGGTTCCCCAGATATCAATGTGTCAGAGTCTAAAACAACGGTGTCTGAAAAGCACTTTGCGCAAGATTACAATGACCTCTCTTTGGAAGGAAAGTGTGGCGATTTTATTGCCATTGATGTCAGTGATGACGACACTGGTGAATGCAATGATTCGAGGAACTCGCAAATAACATTTTGTGACGGTGATAACTCGGACTTGGAATCAGAGGATCTTGATGAGTTGATCAAACCACTTCGTATAATGGTACAAGTCTAATAACGTAGTTTCGCTCCGGGCAGCAGCATAGCTAGAGCCAGTTAACAATCCAAGTCGTGTACCCATTGTAGAATTCAGTCAATTATAAATGTATTAGGAAGAAGTTTTAACCATGAGAGAGAGAGAGAGAGAGAGAGAGAGAGAGAGAGAGAGAGAGAGGTTCTTGTTTTATCTTCTGTTCTTTTCTTTGTTGTGGTATAGGAGTTTTCCCCCCATTTTACTTGATTAGAAAGAAGTTTATTTTGTACATGGATGGTATTAGAAATAAGAAATGACGTTGTATAATAAATAAATTTCAATTATCAGAGAAGCTCTTTTCAGTCATTAGCGTTTGGTTTGATTAGTGTATTCGTGTCATAATTTAAATTATGGTTCATAGTTCGTTACAGTATTTTTTGTTGACGGTAGTTTTCTGTCAATTAAGGATTAACTCTCCGAGAACACTCACAGTAACCTCTCACGGATTGATTAATGATTAATGCTGTAGATTAATATAGAGAAGACAAGAATTTATAGTGGTTCGGTAAGATTTCTTGGCCTAGTTCACTTGTGGATACACTAATACTCTGTTGATTACAATTTCTCCGGGATAGTTGAATAGTGTGTAAAAAACTTAATGAATTCTCATAGCTCTATTTATAGGCCTTGTACACATGAGAGACCCCATTTGCATTTTCCGAGTAGATCATCCTCTATCCCTTAATTATGGGATTTAGCAGTTGTATTTCCATGATTACAGCTTCCCAGTCAGGCGAACCACTCTTACCAGCTATTGATTTCCTGACTTCGACAGTAGTAGTTGATACAATATATCTTTCCTTGAGTTGACAGGACTATCTTTGGATTGGACTGGGCCGCTTCCTCGACGTCGTGGTCTTTGCCACCTCATCGGGGCTCTCGACGCGCGTCATCCTGCATGAACTCTCGACATATGAATGGCACCTTAGCTACAATTGATCCCTCAACGCCAGCGACCGATTCTCGACATGGAGGCCACATCGCTTGTCGTCTAAAGGAGTGGTCAATTCCTCGACCGTGGTGTAACAATTACCCCCTAGACTGGGATATCACGTTGTGATGTTCCAGGCTATACAACGTCAAGAGTTCCACGTGGCAAGTTCTCTCTTGCAGATTATGGCGGCTGCTTGCAGGTATAGTGCCATCATTACAGCGAGTTTCTCGGGCAGTGGAGCAGTGTTATCGATTGTGTCAACGGTCACGTCCCTTATACCCTGGTGACACATGGCAGTCGAGGGGGAAGCTACAGCCGTCCGATCATATTTATTTCTCCCGCTCTTATCCTAGCCGTTAGATCACGCATCTTCGAATTCACCGTTGGATGAGGTCGGTTTAAATTCGACGGTCGAGATCTGGGGTCGTTTGAATTTCTCTGAGGTTCCTGGGCTTCTTTCCTCGGGTGTATATATATGCCCCTTAACACAATTCTACGGTTGTCCATTTTTCAGAACGCCGTTACTCTGCCAGATTTTCACCAAGAATTATCACCTCCGACTTCAACTTCCGTGTGCACTTCCCGTTCGCGGTTCTCTAACTTTCCAGTCTTCAGATCGCCTCGAGGACTAGTAAGTGGCTTTATTTCTTTCGTTTTTCCTGTGCAATCCTAGAACCTGTACATGTAAAGGAAAAAGTAATATGTTAAACGGAAAAATGCACTTACTTGGTTGTGGAACTGGGGCGGTGTAACACCCTGAAGAATGAATTGAGATTAATTAAGATAATTGAGATTATTAGTGTGCCTAATCCAGATTATTAATTGAGTTTAATTAATAAATGTTTCTGACACGTGTGAGTTTAAATAGTTCCAAGGTATTTAAATTATTCTCAGTAAAATTATTTTAACCCAGAAGTGTGTATGGGCACATTTCTGGGCTGTTATTTTAAAATATTGTACACATATCCTTTTCTTTCCTTTTCTTTTTCTTTTCTTTTTCCTTTTTCCTTTCCTTTCTCTTTCCTTTCCCGTGCACTCTCTCCCACTCTCCCGTGCTCTCTCTCACTCTCTCTCTCATTTTTGTCCCAAATCAAACGGATCTTGAACCAAGTAAAGATTTAAAGAAGTTTTCAACGTCAAGAGAAGGATTCGAGGTAAGATTACTGAAAGAACATCTCTTGAATCTTACGTTTTCGGATTTCAAAACTTATTGTTGGTTCAAACCGGATTTTGATGGTTTTTGAGTAAAACTAGAGTAGAAATTGGAGATCTTGGGTTCTTTGGACTTGTTTTAGGACCTAGTGTTGGTCGCCGAATCGAATCCGGCTGCGGAAGCGCGGTGGTGCGGGGAAGAGGCGGATCGTGTATAACAAAAATTTTCATAAAACTTTTGAGATACTCTATAGATTATATTAATTTATGCACGAATAAATTAATCTCATTAACTTATATATATCAAGAACTCAATCAGGAAAAATTCCTGGGAAGCCGACTCGGATGATAACTTGAGTTCTTTGACCA